GCCTGCTGTGTTCATCCAGCTCTACACCTTGTTATCTCAGATTCTCCAGCATCTGCAGTTCCTACTATCTCTGTTTTAACCATATTTGTCTTTTGCCTAATGTTCTAATCATCATAATTAGCAATTCCTTTCTGCTGGAAATAATTCTTCTTATAACCTACAAAATTATTGTGTTCTATGAACATAATACATAAATACAACCAAAAAGCAAACAGTAGACACTAAAAGTGAGGCATAAGTTTGCAATTTAAATACTAAGTGGCAGTGACTGAAACCTAAATGTCATTAGTACATGCTGTTGTTCTGATGGTTGATACAACTGCTACTGAGTGGCAGTGGTAGAGGAAGTGCATGTTTGTGGATGCGATGAGAATCAAGTTTTGTCTTGAATGGTGTCAAGCTCCTTGAGATTTGTTGCAGCTGACCTAATTCTGGTAAGTGGAAAGTATTCCATCACATTCCTGACTTTCGCCTTGTCCAGTATCCATAAGGTTTAGGGAGTCAGGAAGTGCATTCAACACTGCAGGATTCCAAACTTCTGAGTTGTACTTGCAGCCACAGTATTTATGTGGCTAGTCTAGTTCGGTTTCTGATCAATGGTAATCCCAAAATGTCGATAGTGGTGTAGTCAGTGATGACAAGGGGTGATTGTTGGAAATGGTCGTCATCTAGCACTTAAATCGTACAAATGTTGCTTGTCACTTGTCAGCTCAAATCTGGATATTGTCCAGATCTTATAGCATTTAAATATTGACTGCTTCAGTAACTGAGGAGATGCAAATAGTATTGAACATTGCACAAACTTCATTGAACATCCTCATTTCTGAATTTGAGGGAAGATCAGTGCTAAAGCAGTTTAAGATGGTAGAGTCTAAGACACTACCCTGAAGAACTCCTCCAGAGATGACATGGAGTTGAAATGATTGATTTCCAACAACCAGAAGCACCTTCCTATGTGCCAGGTATGATTCCAGCCAGTGGAGGACTTTCCATCAATTCCAATTGGCTCTAGTTTTTCTAGGTCTCCATGAATCCTTACCTGGTCAATTGTGAAACTTATGTCAAGGACAGTCACTCTCACCTCATCTCTGGAATTTAGCTCCTTTGTTAATTTTTGAACCAACACTGCAATGAAGTCAGGGGATGAGTGGCAGTAACTTGCCAGGTGGATTTGTCCTGCTTTTCACATACAGGACATACCTGGGCAATTCTTCACAATATCAGGTAGATGCCAATGTTGCATCAGGACAGAAACAACTTGGCTGAAGGCAGAGTCAGCAGTGGAGAGCATACCTTCAGCGCTATTGCTATAATACTGTCAGGGCTCATAGCCTTTGCTGTATCTAGTACTTTCAGCCATTTCTTGATAGTATGTGGAGTGAATCAGATTGACATCTGTGATGCTGGGGCCTGAGATGAATCATCCACTTGGAACTTCTAGCTGAAGACTTGTCATTTGCACTGAAATGTTGGGAATCACATCATTCAGAACTGGGATAATTGTGTTGTCTCCACCTCCACTGAATTGTTTAGTTGTCCATCACTATTCATGGCTGGACTCAGCCAGACTGCAGAGCTTGGTTCTTGGTGGCCGGCAGTAGCATAGTAATAATGCCCCTGGACTAGTATTCCAGAATCCCAGACGAATGTTTTAGGGACATGGTTTCGAATCCCACCTTGCCAGATGGTGAAATTTACATTCAGTGAAAATCTGGTATTAAAAGTTTAACGGTGATCATGAAACTATTGTTGTACATTGTAAAAACCCAATTCGATCTGTCATCGTCATCTGATCTAACCTATACGTGACTCCAGACCCACAGCAAAATGGCTGACTCCCAACTGCCAATTATGGATGGACAATAAATACTGACCAACCAGCAATGCCCACATTCCACGAATGAATTTTCTAAAAGTTCTGACCTGGTTGTGGAATGGCTATCTCTTGCCTATCGGTTGCTGGATATGCTGCCAGGCACATAGTAATCTTGTGTTGTCGCTTCACCAAGTGAACACTTTATTTTTAGGTACTTCTGGTGTTGCTCCGTGCATGCGATCTGGCACTCTTCAATGAACTGGGGTTAATCCGTGATTTGATGGTATGGTAGAGCGGGGACATGAATTTGCAGTATGATACTACATACTTATTGATGGTTCATAGCATCTCATGGATGTCTAGTTTTGAGTTGCTAAATTTGCTCAAAGTCAACCCCATTTAGTGCAGTGATTGTGCCCTGCAACACAATGGAGGGCATCCTCAATGTGAAGACAGACTTTGACTCCACAAGGATTGTACAATGGTTACTCATACCTGTACTGTCACGCACAGATGCGTGCAGCTTGGTGAGACTGAGGTTAACTACGGTCTCACTCTTGTTGGCTCCCTCACCACCTACAGGCCTTTGGCCTTTGGAAATCAACCTACTCAGGACTTGGTCAATCATGCTGACACACTTATGGTGATGGGCTTTGAAGTCGCTCACCCAAAGTATGTTCTGTACTATTGTCACCTTTGACATTTCCACCCAGTGGTGTTCAATACAGAAGAGCACTGATCCATCATTCAAGGAAGAGGCTGTATGTGGTCATCAGCCTTGTTCATGATCAATATTTTAAGGTGTTTGAAAAGGATAACAGATTTCCTTCTCTAAAGTTCTCTAATGATCCACATGAGTTTTTACAGATATCAACAATGAATTCAGTGGACTTTTAATTCCAAATTTTTATTGAATTTAAGTTTCATTTGAACCCAAGTACCCAAAACATTTCCTGGGTCTCTGGATTACTAGTCCAGTGATAATATCACTTCTCCATTGCCTCCCCCAAACTATTTTTGACAGCTCAAAGTCTGACCACATAAAAACTTACATTAAAAATGAACAGTTCCAATATATATTAACGGTAATTTTCCAATCACAGACATTTTCAACACAAAACCAGAATTGGTATTTTCACTGTTTGAGTGCTACAAGGGCCTTTGTGGGTTCGGATGGTATTTGTAGTGAATCTGCCCAGATGGCAGTTTGGTGGGCCCATTAGTTTGCATGCAGTAAAGGTCTGCCAGAAGTGTAGAGATGGAGAGCAGGCAGATCATAATGTCAATAAGCATTTGCCAACAGTTTCATTTGGACCATTCAGTAACGTCTTCTTCATTTCGCACAGTTGAACATATGTTGAGCAGCAGGATAGTCGAAACCCTGCAGCGCATTAAAAACACCAATGCTATTTAAAAAGATGATTAACTGCTTCTTGTTTAGTTGTTGGAGGCTTTCTTCTGGATCTTGCCTTGCTCCTATAAGTTGCCAGGACTTTTTGTAGTTGCTTACAGTTACATGGGTCAACTAGGGGCTGTGCAAAAAGTGTTGAAGATTTTTTTGTGTTTACTTAAAGTCATCTATGTGAACTAGTTGCTTCAGGACATGGATTCACCACCAGCAATTTTGTTTGGAATAGAGCGTGCCTTAGCATGTGAACAGTGACAGATCTGGAGCAAGCAGCAAAATACATTTCAAACGCAAAAGAGATAGAATCTATGAAGAAAAAGTAGGATATTATCGTCTTCAATGGTTACAGTTCCATCACTGGCCATGGTGAAAACATACAGACTCCATAAATCCTCCTTCAATAATTCCTGTGCCTCAGGTTGTGTAGACTAAAGGATTAAGTGTACTTTTACTCTAATGATCACTCCTGAGTATGTGTGCAAAAGCATAATGACATCAATCACATAGAACATGGAACCCTAATATATGTATTCCAGGTGGGTTCTCTTTCTTTCTCCTATACATAGTGTATATACAGTAATTCCCTATTTATAGTTAACTTAACCCTTATTTCACTTTACTGTCATGAATACAAAGTGACAATATATTCAGTTATCAATGTGAGTTACAGTTTAATGCTGTTTCCTACACAATACCTGTACATTCTACCTGATCTCAAGAATATTCCTCCATGCTTTCCTCCCACACTCATTGCCCCAGCTTTTCTCAGGTTTGTCCCTGGCCTCAGCCCACTTTCTATCTCCCGTGACCTGTCTCCATATTCCTGTCCTCGGATCTACTCTTTACAGTGTCTGGTATCCATTTCGATTCTGAGCTTGTATTACAGGACTGGGCTCAACCCACTCGCAGATGTTGATCAGTGCAGGCAGTTCTGTCCTCACTGGCCAACTTCTGCCACTAGATGGAGCCTGGTCAATTAAAATTACTTCAGGTGAATTTGATTTGGACTTCATCGCAGTTACATTCATGTTGTATTTATTTGATATTTTTAAATTTACTTTGCTTTAAAAGTTATTCTAGTTATAAATGTAGGCATTTAGGAACGTACACCTTAATATTTTCAAGTTGCTTTCTGCTGAGAAAAGTCCTTCAGCACCTAATTATTAAGTAATTTATCTTTTACTTTTTCCAAGCAAGAAGTGTCCATGGGAACCTAACTCTGCCTTTAACACTGATCATTGTGGGAAGCTACATTTCACTTAAAGACATGATTTTCAAAAACACAACCACAAGCGAGGAAGCAAAATCAATGTTTTATGTACAGTGACCCTTCATCGGAACTGTTCTGATGAAGACTCTGCTTTCTCTCCACAGATGCTGGCAGACCTGTTGAGTTTCTCCAGCAATTTCTGTTCTTGTTTCAGATTTCCAGTATCCGAAGTTCTTGGTTTTATTTTAGTGAGGACTTGCTGTACTTAACAAAGGCGACTGATATTCATTGGCATGTGTGTGGACCACCTGCCATCAACAACCCAGACAAAATTTTACAAGAGGTTGTACACCACTTGTCACGGGAACATAGCAGCATAGAAACAGCAGTCGGCCAGTCAGCCCCTTGAGCCTGCTCCACCATTCAAGAGATCATGGCTGATCTGGGGCCTACCTCCATATCCCTGCCTTTGGCCCATATCCTTTAATACCTTTGCTTACCAAAAAACATCTATCTCAGATTTAAAACTAACAACTGATCTAGCTCCACTACTGCTTGTGGAAGAGAGTTCCAAACATCCACCAACCCTTGTGTGTAGAAGTTCTTACAAACATCTCTCCTGAATGGCTTGGACCTAATTTTTCAAACTATGTCTCCTAGTTCTAGAATTTGCAACCAGTGGAAATCGTTTATCTTTATCTACCCTGTGTTTTCCTGTTAATATTCTGATGAACACCTAATAACTGTCTAAATTCTAGTGAAAACAGGTTTAATTTGTATGAACTTTCCTGATAACTTAACCCCTGAAGTCCAGATATCATTCTTGTAAACCCATGTTGCACTCCCTTCAAGGCCCATACATCTTTCCTAAGGTGTGGTGCCCAGATCTGCTCAAAGTACTTCTGAACAGGGTCTAACCAGGGTTGTGTATAGCTGCAGCATAACATCTGCATCCTTGTACTCCAATCCTCTAGATATAAAGGAGAGCATTCCATTAGCTTTCTTCATTATTTTCTGCACACTTTTAAGATGCCAATGCCCTGTTAAAGAATGCCGTGCAATCAGTTTGTGTGATGTGGTGGTCACGATTGATTAACTCAGTTTGTACAATCTTAGAGATGTAGGTGTGGGGTTTGCTGCAATAGTAACTGTGTGGGGGTAAATTGAAGCATCTGAATGTCAGGCATGAGTCCTGATTAATGGAAATTGTTGGTCGTGGAATGATAGGAATATGGTAATTTGAACTGTAGCTGAGGCCAATGATGCAGTTGGTAAAATAAGGCAATGGAAGATGCAGGCACAAATTTCTTGATTCCTGAGACCACTGAACGTCTTACTGCTACTGCATTCGGATCCTCGGGGTTCGACTCCTTGCCCTAATCTTCACAGACACCTATTCCCATTGCATCTCTGACAAATGTACAAAAAAATTCTCCTACACTTTCCACCTCCCTCAACTAGGACCACAATGCAAAGTTGAAAGACCGCGGAGCTCACACTCTCCCATGTTGTGCCATTGCGCAGTCTGTCCCAGGTCAGACTTACTTCACTTCCCAGGTCAGATTGCCAGCATCTGCTCCTCCCACAGAGCACATACCTGACCTCTAGAGGGTATTGGCTATCTGGGAAGAGGGCACACCAGTTTTAAGTGGCGCTTGCCACTCTCAATATTTACTTACTTTCTAACAAAACGTTTCCCATGGAAACAGATTAGCACTAGTTAGCAGTGTAGCCTCACAGCACCAGGGTTCCGGGTTCGATTCCATTCTTGTCTGACTGTCTGCATGGAGTTTGCACATTCTCCCTGCGTTTGTGTTGGTTTCGTCCCCAAATCCAAATATGTGCAGGTTAAGTAGGTTAGCCATGATTAAAAACCCCATTTGGTTTATGGGGATGGGGTGTAGGCGTGGGTGGGATATTCTTCAGAGGGTCTGCGCAGACTCAATGGACCAAATGACATCTTTCTGTACTTATAGGGATTCTATGATTCTTTGAATATATAAGGACACACCACGAAGACAATATCAAATTCAACTAAATGGCATCCAAAAGTGATTCTTACCAGATTTTCAGCACTGTGTAATTCATGTGTAGTGGATGCACATCGTGTGATCAGAGGTTTGAACATGCAGCTCACGATTATTGCCTCCATACTTCGTGCAGCTGATTTACTATCCCCAGTGGTAAAATTATTTCCAAATCCAGCCTTGTCTAAATATATGGAAAATATAAATCAATGTTATGTTTACTAAGGTACACGTTCACATGCTTGTGCTTTTCTTAACCAATTTTCCTGCAGTCACCTTTAATCTTCATAGATTGCTCTCATTCATTTTCACTGCTCTGCAAGCCGCTTATTTATTATGCGACTACACATTAATTAACAAGATATTTTGCAAGTAATAGTTTAACTTGCATGAGGTTCCAACTGTGTGAGTCTATAGTCAATCTCTAAATGTAATTTTTACATAATCATTGTTGAATTGCATTTGCTACTAATTGAAACTATATCTCAACCATTGAAGATTAACGTCCATCTTTTTAACACATACTTAATTTTTAATAAAAATAAATTAGGTTCAGGAGTGTAGTAGTAATTTGGGTAAAATCAAGTACAGCATTAGGAAGGAACAGCAGGAAAAAAGAACAGTAAAAAGTAGTTAAGTTTAAAGGCATGATATCTGAACGCATTCACAACAAAACAGATTAATTGGTTGTACAAGTAAAGATTTTATTCCCATAACATGGAGCATTATTTAAAGTCAGGAACCCAGAATCAGGGTCAAATAAGTCATGACTTTGCACTCTGAGGCAATCAATGAGAGAAATCTGGCAATGATTTTCTCCAAATTGGCCAAAGGAAGAGCCTTACAACCTGCCACGGCAGGTGAGACAGATAGTGAGAGAGACAGAGAGAGACACACACACACGAGCAGAGAGAGAGAGAGAGATGGGGGGAGGGCACTTCCAACTTGAGATGCACTGTCAGCAACTATGGAAACTTCACACAAGAATGTTTTTCTAGAACAATATTTCAAGGCAGGAAGTAGGAAAGAAGCTATTTTAGAACTAGTATTATATAATGATACAGAGGTAATGAGAAATCTTGTAGGAAAGAAACCTCCATGCAAAAGTGATCATAATATTACGAATGTCACCGTAATTTGCATATTGTTTAAGTGTGAAATTACAGTCTTAAAATTTTAAAAAAACAATTGTGCAGAAAGGAAGAAGCTGCCTAAGGGAGGTTAGATCAGGTGCCTAGATTAAAAGAGTTAAGCAGATAAGAAATGCAAACAATTTAATGAAAATATTCCTAATTCTCAATAGACATGCTAGACATGCATTATTTCTGAGGGAATAAACCTCCACAAGAAATGTGATCTAACTGGAGCTAACTACAGGCTTGGATTAAAAGAAGAGGCTTCCAGCATTGCCAAAAGGATTATTAAACCTAAGGATGTGAAGGACTTCTGAAAATAGCACATGATGGTCAAAACATTGGCAGAAGGGGAGATAAACAGAATGACAGTAGACTAGCAAATATATAAAAATAATATAACAGATTTTAAGAACTTCTGCAAGTCTGTAAAAAGAACTTCCTGCTCTGTCATTCGATATGACCATGGCTGAGTTTTGATTTCAATGCCACTTTCCTGTCCTGTGTCTTGATTCCCTTAGTCTTTTGGTTTTAAATATACCCAATGGCTGAATATCTACGAAATCTTTGTTGTCAATCAAAATTAACACCAATACCTGCAGTCTCTGACAGGTAAAACCCCTTTTCAGGAGCTTTTTAGAAGGAAGTAGACATCTCTCAGTTTGATGGAAAACTACAAACGAAGAAAATCATTTTCTGAAAACACAACACTTTAATTTCAAAGTTCCCAATGCAAACAGCTTAATAAACTGCTTTTTCTTATTCTGACATTTATTGGAACTAACTGCAGAAAGTTCTTAAAGTCAAAACACTTTTGAACAACTTCAACACAGCATTTCTGAATAAGGCTTTGCAATCATCAGCCAACCCATGCAACATTTAAGTTCACCTCCTTTACTTACGAAGAAACGAATAAGTAAGATGTACTTACCTGTGGTAGGCATCCCGATTGGAGCCACCAATTTTCCTGTTTCAAAGAGGCTGGGGCGCCTAAAGTGGACGTTGCAACCCCCAGCTGATCGGATCTGAATACCTAGTGCTATTAAAGATAAATTTTTGGAAAATAAATGGCTGTTAAAGAAACTAAAAAATGAACATGAGGAGAGGACATCCACATCTTGGGGATTTCTCAAAAAAAAAATTCCAGTGAGATTTTTAACGACAGACAGGAAGCTTTAGATCCTTCATGCAAAATGTTGAGTTTTATGGAAGGTTAGGACCACTTAATTTGGCATTACATGTGAACTCACTCTCTCTTTAACAGGAAAAATGGTAGCTGCAATTTTTAGGAAGAAAACGTTATTTATTTAGTCTTTTGGATGTAGAGATTGATTTAAAATTTAGTGGGAGGGGTTGCAAAAAAATTGTGATTTCAAGTGTCAATCTCCAGGTTTACTGAATCTTAATCTCATATTTCTCTTTTAGTTTCCTAAATGCTGTAGGTTGGTGCACCAAAGTGACATACTATGAGTTTTTGCTTTGTGAATCCTCACAAAATGACTTTCTCATGTTAATGATGCTAACAGGCAAAAATACATGGAGAGTTGGGGTACTTTTCAATTTTAGAGGGGTGAATTAATGAACAACTCACTCTATACTATTCATATGGATGTGCTACTAATCAAGTAAAGAGCATGGAGAACTTGGAGAGGAAAAAAACAATGAAATGGGAAAAGAAATACTGAGTTTTACTGTATTCTAATATAATCCAACAGAAAGTCAGACAGATACAAGTAGCTATCATGTAACTATTTGTATATAATCAAGATCTATTGATTATATACTTGATGACTGCCAGGTAATAAACATTTGATAGAAAGAGTTGCTGTACTTACTGTCAGTAACTGGTTCCATGCAAAACCCTAGCAAAGCATGTAAGAAATCCACTACATTGTTCAGGGAATCCTTGTTCACATACTCCCGCAGAGTTTGGCGAAAATGTACTTTGCTAAGTTTGTACAATCTAGTAAGACAGTTCTGTGCCTAAAATGATTAATACATTTTAAAACAAACAATGCTTAGTATTAGCTATAGTACTGTTGAACAAATTGTATAAAATTGTTGCTAGCATCAGCAATGTTTCAGTGAAAGATCAAGAAAGCAATGTTATTTCATTCAGGAGAGTGCAAAGAGAGAAACAGAGACAATGTTTTTGGTCAATGACCTTTCATCAATTCTGACTAAGGGAGATCGTCCAGGAACATTGGGCAGAACCTTGTTTGGGTGGTTGGGATCTCTATGGTGGCCGTGATTCGCAGAGAGACTTGTTTTGTCTCATACAGGGAATGTTAGCCTTGCCAAATGCCAATCAGCCACTAGCGAGGCCACAAAAAGATCTTTGGCTGGAATTAGGACCCTGGGGTGGAAATCTCATCTAGTGAAACGTCTGCTCCTCTGATGCTGCTTGGCCTGCTGTGTTCATCCAGCTCTACACCTTGTTATCTCATCTAGCGAGAGCTGCTGGCCAATCAGAGGCCAGACATTATTGCACACAGTGGAGCCAGGAAGATTTTTTTTTTCTTGACTCATTCACAGGATGAGTGTGTCACTGGCCAGGCAGCATTTATTGCCCATGGTTATTGCCCAGAGGGCAGCTAAGAATCAACCATATTGCAGTGAGTCTGGAGTCACATGTAGGCCAGACCAGGTATGGATGGCAGTTTCCTTCCCTAAAGGACATTAGTGAACCAGATGAGTTTTTCTCCTGACATTCGGCAATGGATTAATGGTCATCATTAGATTCTTAATTCCAGATATTTATTGACCTCAAATTCCACCGTCTGCCATGGCGAGATTCGAACCCGGGTCCCCGGAACATTATCTAGGTCTCGGGATTAACAGTCCAGCAATAACACCACTAGGCCATTGCCTCCCCTGGCAACAGCCATGTAAAAGCACCACTATAGTCCCAGGAGAGTCGTGGACCCAGCAGAATAGTAAGTCATATATGGGGACAGCTTCTCAGGTTGGTCATTGTGTGTGGGCAGATAAAGGGGCAGGGGTGCAACTACCAGTAGGCAATGCCTGCCTGACATCCAGTTTCTCATTCAGGCACTGACTACCTTTGATTGAGGGTCGTGCCCCCACCTCTAGGTGATAAGCTATCCAAAGGGCAGTGGGCATGCACTCCACATGACCCACTTGTAGTTGGGGAAATCTTTGTGGAAGTGTGCTGAGGCCCTGAAGTGGATCTCAACTGGCAGCAGGGCAGGAAGGTTAACCATGGCACTTAATTCTGGCAAAGGGGAGGAAGGTGGTGGGATTCAGGCATGGCACGTAGCAGCCTCCAAGATCCCCATCTCCAGGAGTAGAAGATTCTGTCCATTAATTTTGTCTCTCTCCAGAGATGCCACCTGACCTGTTGAGCTTTTCCAGTAAATTTTGCCCTGATTTCAAATTTTGGGCATCTGCGGCATTTTGCTTTCATATAACATACTAAGGTTTAGGTCAAGTCAACTGATTGAAGGGCAAAGTGTATAGTACTACCACCAGATCATAATTTTGTACCATTAAAGATGCACTGTCCTATTTGGTTTGGCTCCAAGACGGCAGTGGATCAGCTTTCATTAAGATCACTGATGGTAAGCCCTTTGAGATGTTAATTATTTGAACTGAAAAATCACCAATCAACTTGGAGGGAGGCCACAACATGACTGAGTTCTAACTTTGTGAGAATTGGGAATAGTAGTCTGCGCTACAGTAGGTTTATCGTGGGGCATATTGAAGAGCTAGCAATAACAAAAAAAAATTTAAAACCTCTTTGCTCGCTGAAGGTGTCTTAGCCTCTAAACACACTATACAGGGCTTCCTGTGTGTCATTTTGTTTTCACCTCTACAACATTTCTAATGATCATGTCCCTCTTTATAAATGGAAGCCACTTACTTGAAGGCGGAGGCGATCTCCTGACAGGCCACGGTGGCCCTCACCACAACCATAGGCGCATCCCAGTGACTTCACTATTTTGATCAGCATTGTTAAAGTAAGTTTATGAATGTTGCCTGCGGTATCTTCATCCTGATGAATCATAAATACATTTTAAGTCCAAGGTAAGAGACCAGTCGCAAACATTTGCAGAAAACAAAACGCTGGACTGAGGAATGGCATTCTCCTCCTGGATAGCTTTACATCCGTGAAGGGAAACCACAGGGCCCACACAGTAACGGGGATTTTGTAATCTAGGACACAAATTTTCCCATCCCTGGCGGAGGTAGCTCCGGAAAGAAAATCCACCACATGAGCAATTAAGTGCCAGGTGAAAAGGTCCATGGGTGTCATTGTCAACTGGCCAGCAAATCAAGCTCTTTTTCACTGGGCATTTAATTGGCTCTTCATGGCCTCAACCCTCCACCGCTCCAGTCATCTGGCTCCTCAGAGGACAGGAAAAGGTAGCTTGTTTCCTGACTGGAAAACAATGATGATTTGCCTGCCGAGTGAGGAGAGGCGACCAATCCTCAGGAGCCCCACCCTGCAAGAGGCAAAAAGAAATCTCATCTTTTTCACAGATAGTAGGAACTGCAGATGCTGGAGAATCTGTGATAACAAGGTGTAGAGCTGGATGAACACAGCAGGCCAAGCAGCATCAGAGGAGCAGGAAGGCTGACGTTTCGGGCCTAGACCCTTCTTCTGAAGAAGGGTCTAGGCCCGAAACGTTATCTTTTTCACTGCTGGATCATCTCAAGTAGGCCATGACCAATGTCAAGGTCTATGAGTCATCTCACTGATATGAGTGGTGTATTAGCCACCACCTCACACATTTCCCCTCACACTTGGAACAATTCTGCCACAATTAAAAATGCTGGATTTGCTGAATAATTTAGTATAATTTCATTATAATCGGAAAAACAATTCAAACTATTCAAATAATTTTAATAGCTTGCATGCTTGAAACTTTTCCTTATTTTCACTCCCTCCTTGAGGTAATGGCTCACTCGAGGACAAAGCTCCTCAGCTGCCTCATGCCAGTGGGGATTTTTTAAAATATTAATTTAATTTAAGGAATTTAACCACATGTATTCTGAGTTGAATATTCAATGTGTTTGCAAAATTTGTCTCACAAAGTCATGAAGTAGAAACGAAACAAAAAAACTGAAGTAAGTGATTTGCCTCTTTACTGTTTTAATTTAACAGCACAGAGCAACTCCATCAGTCAATCATTATCTTACATGAATGACTTGTGTGTGCATTAACAATCCCTTGAGCAATGCCGTTGTGAGCTCTTTGCTTCTGAAAGGGACACCGATAGTGGCAAGGATAGCCAAAGGACTGCAGGACAAAATATACTCAATGACAGAATAGGTGAAGAGAGACTGTGTGACTTCCCAACTGCAGAGAGTCAAAGAAAGCTGCATTGGAAAAGTGAGAGTTGTCTTTATAGGATTGGTAGTGCATGGCTGCTTCACAACCTATTATTATCACAGCATGGGACAGCCTGTAAATTCACAATTTGATTGACGGCTCCAGGGGGATATGAAGAGTTTAGCTGTCTTGAATGTGGAACTATAAGCTGCAAATGTTTGTTTTCATATGGGATTCATTACTTAAAATAAATATTTGCTTACATAAGGAATTGAGACTTGAAAGCATTTAAATGTTATCAATGAGACTTTCTTCCTAAATAATGAAGTCTCCAATAGACACTTGGAACATTATTTTATTTCATTTTACCACGGTCCTGAGGACTCCCCATGTTGGATACTTGTGAAGGGTGTCAGGACATAATGTGAATATGTGAATTACTAGGGGTGGGGAGGGGGGTGCGTGGAGAGACATGCTGACACAAGATTATCGGAAAGCATGGGGTGGGTAGAGTTGGTATGAAGTTCACATAGAGGTTATAAAGGGCCTTCGCGTAGGCAGGATGCATACGTTGGCATGAAGTGTATGAGTGATAATGAAGGTGTGTATATAAGGGCATGGTTTGGTATGAAGCATACATAAGGCCGAGGGGTTAGGTAGAGGGGCATTAGTTGGTACAAAGTGGGTATAGGAAGTTGAATGGGGTGTGGGGAAGGTGGGGAGAGGACAAAACAGCAACTTTTTATTTTATTAATTTTATTGTAACTTGGACAAAGCCTCCAGGCACCATGCCAGGCTTTGTAAAGAACTGGCCTTAGCACTGGCAGCTATTGTAGATGCCTAATGAAGCTTTGAGTGTTGACGAGTCTAATTCCTGTTGGTGCCTGCTTCATCCCAATATGAAAATCCGAAGATTCAGCCAACTTTCTCCAAAATTGAGAACAAAACTACAACTCCTATGTAGGTTGTAAGAATAAGTATTACCTGAGAAAATCAAATGTTTCTGTGAACCGTGTGTCCTGTACTGCTAGAAGAGTGGGTGCATCATTTCTATCAAGAAGGCAACAAGTGTAAAATGTTGAGCGTTTTGCACAAGGGAAAGCATGACATTTTTAAGTATTTTTTTCTTGAGAAGTACAATATGGAGCAGGTTGTATATGTATTTTGAAAGGAATTGAATTTATGAGTCAAGAAGTAAATGTTATTTGATGCCCTTGTGTTTTTGAAGTTGCTTAGAGAGAGAGACTTGTAAAACGTCTTTCAAGATGCTTCACCTTACATTGTTCACTCAATTGATACCAGTTGTTGTAAATATTCTGAATTACAAGCAGGGCATTTTTAGAGAATGGAAAAGAAGACATGAATTTAATCTGTGACAAAATGACATATTTTTGGCTGTTTTTTTTGCTTGATTCTGGTTTTAATAAATAGTTGATAAGTTGCTCCTCAATTTAGGAGAAAAATTATGCTAGAAATCTTGCACGTAATACATCACAAAAATTTTACCATCGCTTCCTAGAAATTAAGCCTGTCTTAACTTGATGATACTAATCCCTGACTGATTTGCTGAGAAAGTGCATTGTATTTCAGAAATTTTGCAACCTTTGTAAGCTAATAGTGTAAAATAACAGCAAACCACCTCCTGATTTTTGCTCTTTTTATCTCCGTCATCTCCACCACCACCTCCACCTCCTCCGCCACCATCTCCGCCTCCACTTGCATTTCCATTTCCATCCTCTGGTGGTGCTCCAAAAGTACCAGATGATCCTGTTGGTGCTGCTCGCTGACTGGTTGCTTCTTTCTGCCGTTTCTCATCTGTATTATTCTCCTTATTTTCTTCAATTTTGTATTTTTTATCCGCTGAAGGAACCACTTCCAGCTGCAGTAGGCAGTCAATGACGTTTAGCCCCACATCACATATACGAGAACTGATATCATGGTTAAGTACCACAAACAACGCTTTTAGAATGACCTAAATTGTAAAAACAAAAGTTAATTTACAAATGTAATAGCAAGAACTGTCATAAGATGCAAATTTCCTTTTTTAAAACTAAAATGTTCAACACAGCTGTTGATGATGATCCTTTGACTGAGCTAGTTGGTCCTAAGAAGATATCTTTGCAATAAAAACACAACAAAACAAAACAACAAAGAAAAATAGAGATCTTGGCCTATGGATGCTGCTATTTATTGTACATCTAGATACCCAAACCATCAGCCCACTCTGGTGTAAAAAAAATCAAGGAATTCAAAACATTAAGTTCCAGTTAAAAATCACTTGTATTCAGGCTTTTGCTGAGTTACATTTCAGTTTGCCTGGATCAGACAAAGCTCACAAAACCCATCACATCTGCAAATTGGGAATTAGCAGACTGCTTTCAGCTTAAAAAGTTCTTCAAATTACCTCATTATCTTGGACACAGAGGCATAAATGGACATATTTCAAAAAGTCAGACTCTTGCTTGTTGACTACAGCTCCACCTTCAACACCATTATCCAATCCAGACTGATCTCAAAACTGCGTGACCTTAGTCTCGGCTCCACCCTCTGCAACTGAATCCTCAGCTTTCTGACACATAGGCCACAGTGTGAATGGGTAACTGCACCTCTTCCACAATAACACTCAAAACTGGAGCCCCCCCAAGGATGTGTCCTCAGCCCCTTACGGTGCTCCCTGTACACCTATGACTGTGTTGCTAAATTCCGAATGAATGCCATCTACAAGTTTGCTGACAACACCACTATGTGGGACAGATATCTAACAACAACGAGTCAAAATACAGGAGGGAGATAGAGGGTTTTTTGACATGATGCAATGAAAACAATCTGTCTCTCAACATTAGCAAAACTAAAGAACTGGTCATTGACTTCAGAAAGAAAGGAGAACACACCCCCATCTTCATCAACGGAACTAAGGTTGAGAAAGTGGAGAACATCAAGTTCCTTGGAGTGACGATAACGGACAACCTGTCCTGGACTTCCCACGTAAATGCGACAGTCAAGAAGGCACAATAACGCCTCTTCTTCCTCAGGAAATTTGGCATGTCCATAAGGTCCCTCATCAATTTCGACAGATGCACCATCCAAAGCATACTGTCCATGTGCATAACGGCCTGGTATGGCAACTGCTCTGCTCAGGACCATAAGAACTACAGAAGGTGCTGTGCACAGCCCAGACCATCATGGAAGCCAACCTTTCATCATGGACTCCATTTACATGGCTCGCTGCAACGGAAAGGTGGCCAACGTCATTAAAGACCCATTGCACTCTGGTAATGACCTCCTATAGCCTCTTCCATCAGGCAGAAAGATACAGAAGCCTGAACACTCGCATGGGCAGGTTCAGGAATAATTCTTTCTGGCCGTTATCAGACTGTTGAAAGGAATCTAGCCTCAAGTAATGTAACCTACAATGTAACCTGTATGCCTCTAAGTCTTTTTGCTTTGTGCATCCTTTGCTTACTGTGATCTGCCTGTACTGCTCTTAAACAGAGCTTTTCACTGTATGATGAAAAGCAACGAGCAATTCTGCTGACAGCTTGTGGACCCGCAGCTTTTTCAGTTACAGGGGTTTCTGCTATAATGCGTGTCTCATTAACACAAATTGACTGTAATGCTTCCTTGTAATGCAATTTTCTATAGCGCAAGGTTACACAAGCACGCAATTATTGTGTTATAGGAGATATACATGTATGAGGAGCCTAACTTTTTCTGAGGCACCAGACACTAAAACCTTTCAAGAGTTGACAGATTTAGTTAAGGAATATTATGACCCAAAGTCACCTCTAATTCTGAAACACCATTGGTTTTACTCAGCAATTCGACAACCAGGGGAATCCTTATTGGGATTTTTGAGTCGTTTCAGCTGATTGGCAGGGGGACATCGCTTTGGTTTAATCCTTAATGAGATAGTGACAGACTGTTTGGTATGTGGGATTAATGATGTAACCAAGCAAAAGTGCCTTGTAGCTGAAGCCCAACTGGACTTCAAACAGGCTCTACATTTTACCATTGGAAAATGCAGCAAGTGGAATGTATGAGTTGCAAGATACTCCAATAGAAGTGTACACCCTCAGCAGGCCAACTGAACTTGGGGAACAACACTTGGGTAAAGGCAATTGCATAGCTTCACTCAGGAAATCTCCTGAATGGAAGGACCCTAGGTCAGCCCACAGCAAAACCTCAAGACAAAGCCAAGCCTCGGCCAAACGGTTAAAAGTTTCTTCAGGATTCGGACCGACAAGCCATTGTAGTTGCTGCTGATATGCGGACTTGAGACAGCAAATTTAAGTAAGAGAACTCATCGGCCGGTATCCAGGGCCAACCTGGTCCAAATGTTGATCAGAGACTAGGGACTGGATTTTCATGTCAAAGATGGGGGTTAGGAGCTGGGAGTATTTCCAGCATTGCAATTCTTTCTGTCTCCAGACTCCTGGGAGACAGATCTTCCAGGGTGTGAAGTTGCTTGTAGCCAAGCTAACCAAAAAGGGCATTTTAATAGTCTTTGTTTAATAGTCTTTGTTTGGATTGGTGCTTCTAATTCAGTATCGACTCACCTATATACTTTTTAAACTCCAGACCACTTTAAGCATACTTCTCATGTGTCACCCTCATCCTCATGCCCTTCATTCTTCATCTCTTCAAACTTCCATGTAACTGTCAGCCCTCTCACCTTAGCCTTTATCCACTTTATGAACAGAACTCACCAGCTCTATTATAACACTTGGAAGTCATTGAATAGATTGTAAAACTCAAGTAAACAACAGGCTCATCAGAGCAGCAATAAAAAGGTAAAAGTAAAGTCACCACAGTCCTATTGGATAATAGGACTGCTCTCTTATTAGAAGATGATGATTGGTGGTGGTTTAACCTAAGGGTTATTCATGTGAGGGGAGAGGTTAAAAAGGACAATCCTTCATGGTAACCTCAGCCATTGCAGGCATTGAACCCACCCTGTTGCCATCACTCTGCATTGAAGACCAGCCATCCATCCAACTTTAGCTATCTATAATCAATGTGAAGCAATTGTATGAGGATTAGGCAGTTGCAGAAATGATCTCATAAGGCCCTCTAACTAAACAAGCAGACCTCAAAACTGCTATCTAAACCAAATACATAAGAGCAATGTGGGGGAGGGGGTGATATTTGACTCTCTTCCAATAGTATGAATTGTGCTGTGCGATGAATCTGTTAGATGAACCTTTTGACTCTCCTTTGACTTTTGCACACTGGCTAGTTTGGAAATATAACAAGCTGGCAACTAGATTGGAGAAGGGGTGGTTACATCTTCCAATCACAGCACATTCAGACTTGCCTCACGAAATAAATACAACCCATCTTACAGCACCTTATCGCAAAATGTGAAGGAAACCATAAACCCTATACATTCTTTCTGCCTCCAATCCAAGGTTCATGTCTTTGTGAAGCTGGTGTAAAAACTCGCAGGCATTTAAGTCAAGCTGGCCACATGAAAATTAAAATAATCTTACCATGGGCCAGACTTTCAATGAGCTCACAACACTGTCAGCTTCAATCTTCATAAGAGCAAATTATTTCTAGGGCCCATTTTTCTTACCTGTCTTTACGAAAATGTTCAAGGATTCATAGAGAGAAATGAAAGCAGGACCTCTTTGCATTCCACTTGACAGTTCATTTTTCTTGATGCCATTTCAATTTGGTCTCAATTGTGACCATGAAAATCTAGCCTTGGGCATTCTATGCCTAATGGTTCAACTCCCAACTCCCAAGAGCCTTTCTACCATCTACAAGGCACAAGTCAGAGGTAGGAGGCTCCACTTGCTTGCATAGGTGCAGCAACACTCAAGAATCTTGACATATCCATGACAAAACTTGATCAGCACTCTATATTAGTCATTAATTCCCTGTGCCATAGGCACCATATGGTTGCAGTGCCTATGATTTAAGAGGGATATCAACATGTTCTTTCAATAATATCTGCCAAGTCTTCGACTTAAACTACCGAGAAGAGGAAAAGTGAAGTAGGTATTTGGGAACACCACCAGTACTGGGCTCCCCAGCAAGTCATGTACCATTCCTACATTGTTGCTAGAATCTCCTACCTAATCAAAATACAGGAGCACCTTCACTGCACCCACATCAACAGTTAAGGAGGAAACTCAACAGCAACTACCGGAGATAATAAAGGGTGAGCTGGAGGAACACAGCAGGCCAGGCAGCACCAGAGGAGCAGGAAAGTTGACGTTTCAGGTCGGGACCCTTCTTCAGCAACTACCGGAGGTACATTTGGAGATGGACAAAAAACAGTAGCCATTTCACTCTTACCCATATCTTGTGCATTAATAATTCAATCAAAAAAACTGAAGCATAATTTAAATCACACCTAGAGTAACCATTGACAACATGCGGCTGGATAGTGATTAAAGGAAATTTTTTGATGTGGGTTAGTTTTAGCAGTAGGTTTGTGTGTATATTATCTAGGTCTCATTGCACTTTCACTGATTGCAATCATGATTCCATTGTAGCTCGATTGATCACTGTTTTACTACAGAATGGTTATTTTTCTGCAAAGCTGCTGACTGGAATACTCTGGTGAGCAAATATTATAACATATTCGATAATCTGCAATCTGTGTTCAAACTTAAGCGCATACTTGCAGCAACTTTCTACAATATTTAGAGAATATAATTGTATAAACATCTTTTAAAAATCTGTTAAGTACATGCACAGAAGAAACAAACATTTGCCTACATAATAGAAGTGTTTTTCACCGCTCATATTTTCTATTATGTTCTTTGGGTCTGGTTCTTAATTTACCTTATGTGCAAAGACCATAACTGCTTCATTGTCTGTGACAAAACACAATTTAGAATATAGTTGCGGTGTGCTTCTGTTAATTAAAAAAAAATTATGCAGCAGTTCACAGTTTTAATAAAAGACCACAGAAGGCATTTTGTACTTTAGCAATTCTAATCAATTGAAAATATGAAGTCAGCAACTTTGAATTAGGAGTAGACTGCAGATAGTTAGAAAACAGATATCCTTTTTTGAAACATCAGTGTGGTCTTCCTGAATAATCTCACTGCATTTATCAAAAGTCATCTTTCATGATTTAAAAGAAAATTACCCCAAGATCAAGCATTCCATTTTTCTTGACAAAATTGTTAGTTCCTTCCATGTTTTCAGTTTCCTCAAGGCTGCTGTAGTTGATACAGGAATCAGTCAGACTTCGAGGCAGGTTGGCACATGCTAGCGGCTCATGGGGCAGTTCAGGTATAGCCACTTGGTTACACAACTTTCGCATGTGTTCACTGAAGAAATCAGAATATCCCACATTGAAGGAAGCTACTGTGGTGTTGAAAGTGGCTACAGTGATTGTGGAAATCTGTGATCTCACTGTAAAATATAAAATCAGTTGAATGTTTTACTTCATAACCTTTAACTCAATTGCTAATAATTCAGTCTTAAAAACAGAATACAAGAACCCAGATCTTCCCAGAACAAGTAAGCCACTCCTTATGCCATCTCATGTCCCAATCTTTTCATTGAAATTTGATCCAAAGTTTCAGATTACTTTTCTAGGTTTTCAACAAGGACAATAGCAAATCAGAAGCCACAGAAACAGCACAACTTACACTTGCTTGTTCTGCATGAGCAGATCAATATTGGCATGACCTGTGTCATCGCATAACTCATCCTTACTTCATTCATTATGTTAAACTCAATCTCTTCTAGGAAATTGTTTTGGAATGGAAACACTCTATTCAGTTTTAGAGGAAATTTCCAAAATACAGATTTTTTAAAAAATGATTTGGTACAATAGCATCTAAGTTAGTATTTAGTGATTTAAATAACCTAAAATACTCGATATATAGAAACCAGGGACAATATTGGACTTCATTTTTTATGGATCTCAGGTGCAAAAGCGAGGTAAAAAGGTTCACTTTCACAAGACTGTGTCCTGAAGCTAGCTCAGAGGTATCTCATTCCAGTAGCACTGCAGGTATACACACACCCAGTGGATGCATCTGTTCAAGGCTGCAGCTCCTTACTACATTTTCAAGGCATGTACAGTGTTGTGGGCTTAAGAGGTATATTTTGCCCTGGTTTCTTTTAAGAGAGAGATTAAACAAGAGGTGTCAAGCAGTCTGTGGTAACATAAACAGCTTATTAGGCCTCGGGTTTTTTTGTTAAAAGTTTGAGTAATAGAAGCAGCCTGGGTGAATGTTGCCAGCTCTCACAGTGACTCAGTAGTTAGCACTGCTGCCTCACAGCGCGAGGAACAACGATTCGATTCCACCCTTGGGTGACCATCTGTGTGGAATTTGCACATTCTGCCCATGTCTGCGTGAGTTTCCTCCGGGTGCTCCAGTTACCTCCCACAGTCCAAAGATGTGCAGGTTAGGTGGATTGGCCATGCTAATTTGCCCACAGTGTTCAGGGATGTGTAGATTAGGTGAATTACAGGGAGAGGGTAGGGGGATGGGTCTGGGTGGGATGCTCTGAGAGTCCGTGTGGACTTGTTGGGCCAAAGGGCCTTTTCCCATAATTGTAGGGATTCTATGAGAATTTCTAGATTTTTAAAAATATTTTTAGCTCTTACAGTCAGCAGATGCTGCTGGATTTTTGAAGTAGAAGAAGTTATTTTTTCCCTCTCCTGGTTACAACTCTTCCTACTGTGGGCATTGCATCTGAGAAAATTTGATTTCTAAAATTGCCTTTTTTGCCAAGGAGTGTGTTTATGAGATCTTATTATATTGGAACAGTTAATTAGTAATAATTACGGTATCTATTGTTCCATTAAGTTTTTCAACACAGTCAAGTTATTCTAAGTTCTTCCTCCTTTTGTTGTATTTTAACTATCGTGTTTGAATAATCGTGTTTTGCTTAACATCGAGTAGTTTGACCAGTCCAATTGCATCCGGAACATAGCACTCTACATTTACCTTTAAAATAAGAAAAATTTGAGGGTCTAGGCTACCTTCTTAAAATATTTTGAAGGGGTCTGGTCTGGTCCATAACCAGTGGAAGGGAGCCCTTTAACAATATTAGTTGAAAAATGTTGTGTTGGAGAACTGAGTTGGGCTTCCTAACCAGTCCACTTCTGCACCCATATTCCTCATGCAGTCTGTCACAGCTAGCAAAATGCACTGAACCCATCCTTGTGTAAAAGGCAAAAATCTCGGACAAAATCACACGAATCGGACATGCATTTTGCAAGCCCCAAACGTATACAGGTCAGATTTTCCAAAGCCTAAAAGAAAATAGGCCATGTGAATCTAAATTCATTCTCTGGCTTCATTATTTTTGAGCCTAAGTTGGAGACGTGTGAAAACTATTTAACTCCTTTTAGACCATGTACTTTTAACAAAGAGGTAGCTTGTGACATAGCTTCATGAAATTGGACATTTTGAATTTTGTTTCATTCAAATTGATTTTTTTTAATCCAATTCTTATTTAAAAGGAACATTGTTCTAAAAGGTATTTATGAAAAAAGGACTGAAGTTTCCACTTGGATACATGTAAAAGATTGTAGAATGTCAAGCGCAAACATCTTTAGTGTAAATAATGTTTAAATTATGCTTTTCACTGGCTTAAAACATCACATTAGGAGCCATTGAACCATTTTGCAAAACTGTCCATATCTTCTGGATCAATTTGTGATGATTGAGAGAATCTGTAAATAACACTGTTACAGGAGTTCCAGGGTGCAACTGAAAAAAAAAAACTGGTTCTTTTGGGCATAAAGATGCTAAGTGGCAGATAAAAGATTTTGAATGTATTTTAAGAAAGCAGCTACAATACCCTAATATAACTAGCAAATGGTTCTGTACATTTCAAATGTTATTTTTGAATTTGTAAAGGAAAACAGAAAATGCTGTAAATATTCAACTAGTCTGATAGCATCTGTGAAGAGAGAAACGGTGTTAACGCTTTAGGCCAATGAGTTTTTATTCAGCCATTTATAATTGGATCACACACAACTGACGCTGTGATGAGACATGCTTACATTTTCTGAAGTAAGTTTCAGCTGTGTTAACCACCAAGGTACCGCCTATTACCTGCACCAAAAATGAAAATTCCTACCGAGGGTAAGGGCAGCTTTACTGAATGTACAACTTTACCTTCTTTAACTGTGTTATCTCCATGACTATTAGAGTGATCAGGTATATCACTTAGCAAGGTATGATGGGAATGGGAATGCCTAGCACTCATGCCTTCCATTTCTGTTGCAGTATCTGAACTCCCGCGTCGTGTGAATTTTCCTGTAAATGCATAACATTTGTTTTAAAAAAATGCCAACAAAAACAAAACATATAAAACAACAAGCAAGACTGTTAGTTCGGATGAATGTTAAGGCCCTCTGCCAGAATATTTGTTTTCTATATGTTTGCATGTGTAACAGGGCTACTTTTGAGGCAGACATCTTGAAACTTATTTACAACACTATAATATTACAGACTTCTATTCATTGTCTAAGAGTTGTGCTTACCGATGTTATTATACATTGTCTAAGAGTTGTGCTTACCGATGTTATTATACATTGCACATGCATAACTGACTGGTTGCACTGACTCCACTATGCAGAAAGAGTGACTGAAGGTGAGGCAGATAACTTTATATCAGATCATGACAGGTTGTGATGTCATGCAACTCCCTCAAAAATACAGGCCTGTCTGCTGTGGAATTTGTGCCTCAATACAACATGAAGGAGAACCACAAATTGAAGCCGATGATCCGCCCACTACCTGGGAAGGCAGTGGTGCAGTGATGATGCCACTGGACTAGCAATTTTGAGACCTAGTTTGATGCGTGGTCATGGCTTTAAATCCCACCATGGCAGATGGTGAAAATTGAATTCAACAACAATCTAGAATTAATACGACCGTTGTCAATTGTCAATAAAAAAAACATCTGGTTCACAAATGCCCTTTAGGGAAGGAAATCTGTATTCTTTTACCTGCTCTGGCCTACGGATGACTCCAGGCCCACAGTAACATGGTTGATTCTTAACAGCTCTCTGTTATGGCCTGGGAAAGCCATACCATTTAAGAGGCAATCAATGATGAGGCAATATATATTGGTCCAGCTGGTCATGTCTACATCCCATGAACAAATAATAAAAAATCTCCCACCCACTCCTGACCTGTTTCCCATTTAATGAAGAGTGGGAAGGGCCTCAGGCAAGATACCCTCCCCTGGGCTTTTTAAGGCCCTTAAGTAGACATCCTGCCACTGTGTGGTTAGGAAAGGCAGTGTTGAACTGCTGCCAAGCAGGAAGGTTACCTCATTTGGGGAGAATCTCCTGTGTCTAGTAGCAGCATCCCGAACAAAGACTGTGTCACCAGCTCTCCTCCCACACTTGACTCAATGAAAGTTGACCTCAGTATGTTATCATTGCAGGGCAGCTGGATTCCTGGTCAATGTTGTGCCAATAGTCTTTTCGGTCAAAAAAGCAGGTAATCCTTTCCTCCCACCATCCCCCGTCCCTGTAAAATCTACCTGACTTGAGTTCAATGTGTTAATTTGATAACTCTGTTAGGGATTTCAGTAGCTAAGTTTTGTAAGTGTACTGTGCAAAGATTATTACTTGGACACTAAATGACTTTGCAGTAAGTTAATTATTTTGTTATTAATTTTTTTAAAAAGTGGGATACTGTGTAATTTAACAACCTCTTCAAGCATTTGCACAAATAAAGGTAATTTATTTATTAAGTAGTGAAATTTTGAAGGCTTTTGAACACTAGGGGAAGACAGCAAGCACATCATCTGGACTTCCTTGTGGAAGGATTTGCTGAGAGATAGGAAGCTGAAACATTTGCTAATGTTCCTATGCAGCATCTGATGTTGCTTCAAGATTGACAAAGAAGAAATATTTAAATACTGATAAGTGGCGAATAGCTAGTGAGGTAATAAATATCCTTGAATTCCTCAAAGCAAGACCCAGGCCAATTACAATAAGCTGACAGGGGGAATGAACAGGAAATGAGAATGGCCCACAGAAAATAAGAATAGTTAACAGCTGATAAAAAGGAAGCCCAAAATTTTCTATCAGCATGTAACTGATATTAAGTAGGCTGCAAAAGAGGGAGTGGGGCATTTTAGAGACAAGCAAGGTGGCACATGCTTGGAAGAGCAAGGTAAGGTTAAAATGGGTACTTTTTAAAAATCAACATTTACTGAGGAAGAAGGTGCTCACAAAATATCAATAGAGGCAGAGATATAGGATTGCATGAAAATTGATTTTCAGGATGTACAGGAAAGCCTGCTTATGCTTACGATGGATAAGCAACCCGGTCCAGATGTCTAATATCCCAGGTTACCATGGGAAATGGAGATGCAGAAAGCTGGAGGGTGAGCTGTCATTGTCAAGGGAGGTGCCAGAGGTCTAGAGTGTGGCAAATGTAACACCCTTGTTGAAGAAAGGGTGTAAAGGACAACCTGAGTGACTACAGGCTGGTCAGTTCCATACAATGGCTGGGTGAAGTTTCAGAAGCAATAATTAGAGAAAACATTTACAGGCATTTGAAAAGGTTTGAGTTAAAAGCCAGCATAATGTTTACAAGAAAGAACATATTTGAGTAAAATAATTGAATTTTGATGAAGTAATGGGGAACATTGAAGGAATGCACTAGACATCACCCATGATAGATTTTTAGAAATCATTTGATGAATTTTGACACAAAAGGCTCATTAACAAAAATGAAGCTTATGAAATTGGCAGGTCAGAATAGGAAGGTTTTTTTTAAAAAAATGTTACGGTAAATGGTTATTTTCAGACTGGAGGATGGTAGTCAGTGGTGTTCCCCAAGAATCAGCACTGCTTTTCAATCATTTCATCATTGGAATACAGAAAAAAATCTTTAAATTTTCTGGTGATACCAAATTGGAGCTGGCAAAAACATCAGGCCAATATCAACTCTTACAGATAATCACAATGGAGAAAAAAATGGCAGATAGAACTTGATTTGCATTTTGGCAGAAAACGTAAGGAGAGGCAATGAGGACTAACTAGCATAGTTTTAAAGAGAATAGCAAGGCAAGAGACCTGAGTGGCCATGCACAAAGATTATTGAAGATGGTGAGACATAATGAAATAGCAGCATGAAACACCTTGGGCTTCATAAATGGATGCATGAGTACAAAATCAGGAAGGTTGTTGATTAAGTTGAACTTTGTCAAGGTTTGGCACTGTAAGTAAGTGTTAATGACTTGCATTTGACTATCTATGAGGGTAGTGGGAGTGAAGATAATCAATGATTACAAAAGGAAATTAGATAATATTAGAGTTTAGAAGAATGAAAAGAGACCTTATTGTAATTTATTAGACCCATAGGTGGCTTGACAGGGTAGACGAGGAGAACTTGTTTCCCCTTGTGGGAATGTCAGCTCCAGTGGACATAGTCTAAGAGTAAAGTTCTGAAGAAGGTCACACTGGGCTTGAAACATTAACTCTCTTTCTCTCTCCACAGATGCCTCACAGAGCTCAGCAGCTTCAAGGTGTCCAGCGTGTTTGAAACAAGGTTTTTTTCCAGCCAGCACAGGGAGAGCAAACCCAACGCAGAGGAGACGGAGCCCAGCGTGGCAGTGAGGGAGGTACCCTGGCACCTGTGGTGGCAGTGAGAGCAGGCAGCCTGAGGTCTCCTGGAATTTGTGACGGCAGCAAGCACGGGGGCAATTGAGCCAGCGCTGGGAGAGAATGTGAGTCCAGCATGGCTAAGCACTCACAAAGGACTGTAATGTTGAACTTTTAACTTTATTTTTCTACTTTGTACCTAAGTTCCTTTGTACCTAAGATTACACTGGAAATGGCGACTTTATACACTTTTTACTGTACTCCTGTATCCCTGTACTTGACTACACGTGACAATAAAATCTAATTCTAATTCTATGAAGTTGCCCATTGAAGACGGAGATGAAAACAAGAACAAAGAGCAATACAGCACACCAACAGGCCCTTCGGCCCTCCATGCCTGTGCCGACACATTTTGCCCTTCCGTACTAAAACTGTCTTTACTTATAGGATCCGCACCTCTCTATTCCCTTCCTATTCATGTATACGTCCAGGTGCTTCTTCAATGCTGCTATTGTGTCTGCTTCCACCACCTCCTCTGGCTGCATGTTCCAGGCACTTCCCCCTCGCACCCTGAACCCGTGTCTCCTAGTAATTGACCCCACCACCCTGGGAAAAAGCCTCATACTTTCCACTCTATTCATGCCATTCACAATCTTATAAACCTCTATCAAGTTGGCCCTCAACCTCCTGTGTTCCAGTGAAAACGAACCCAGTCTATCCAACCTTTCTTCATAGCTGAAATCCCCCATACCAGGCAGCATCCTGGCAAACCTTTTCTGTACCGTCTCCAAAGCATCCACATCCTTCTGCTAGCGTGGTGACCAGAACTGTACGCAATATTCCAAGTATGGCCTAAATAAAGTTCTATAAAGCTGCAGCATAACGTGTCTACCTTTATATTCACTGCACCTTCCAATGAAGGCAATTCTTACTACCTTATCTACCTGTTCAGCCACCTTCAGTGATCTGTGGACCTTCACACCCAGATGTCTCTGCATATCAACACTCCTAAGCAGTCTGCCATTCACTGTATAATTTCCATCTGTACTTGACCTTCCAAAATACATCACCTCACATTTGTCCGCATTAAACTCCATCTGCCATTTTTCTGCCCATGCCTCCAACTGATCTATATCCTCTCACAATCTTCCTCACTCCACCAATTTTTGTATCATCCACAAATTTACCAGTTAGACCAACTACATTTTCCTCCAAATCATTTGTGTAGATCACAAACAGCAGAGATCCCAGCACTGATCCCTGTGGAACACCACTAGTCATAGCCTTCCATTCCAAAAAGCATCCTTCCACTGCTACTCTCTGTCTCCTATGACTTAGCCAGTTCTGTATCCAAATTGCCAGCTCACCCCTCACACCATGTAACTTCACTTTTTGTACCATTCTGCCATGGGGGGACCTTGTCAAGGGCTTTACTGAAGTTGACGTAGATAACAGCAACCACTTTTTTCTTGTCAATCATCTTAGTCACCTCCTCAAAAAAACTGAGGTGGAATTTCTTCTCTCAGAGGGTAGTGAATACATGAAATACTTTACAGCATTGTGCTGTTGAGGTTGAGTGGTTAAATATATTCAAAGTTGAGATTGACAGATTTTTAATTAGTGAGGGAATCAAGGGCGAAGGGGAAATTGGTGTTGAGAATTAACAGATCAGGCATGATCTCATTGAATGATGGAGCAGTCTCGATGGGCTGAATGGCATATTTCTGCTCCTACAGCTTATGGTCTTATAAACAATTGCGGGAAATAAACTTGCAGGGTGGCAGAAACATGGGTCTGTGTGTATTTTTCCAGAGGATTCCAGCATAAACTCAATTGGCTAGAAGGGTTCCTTTTCTTCCTAAATGACTCTATTGGTTGGATTTTATGGCTGGAAATTGGGTGAGCCAACCTCTACACCGATGTCAAGTATGACGTCAGGTTGGCAAACTGACATTATCTTGCCTCTCTCCGGCAATACAGAAGTGAAGCAGCTGCCTAATTCGAATAATTGTTGTCCTTTCGGAAAAAATACAACCAACTATTCAGCTCATCAAAAAGCCAATCGGTTGGAATTTGTCATCGTGTGCTCCATTTTTCGATAGTGTCATTGGAAAAGTATTGAATCATTTCAGGTATGAGTAGGCAGCAAGAAAAGGGTGGATGGAAAGGCTACCAAATGGGACCACGGCTGCAGAAAGCCAGCTGCTGCTCTACGTGGCATCATTTTGCTGTTAAGTAGATTTTGTTTGTACAGGTTTTACAGGCTGGCAGAGCAACTAAGTTGAGAGGGAAGGGGGGCCTTGGAGGCAGTGAAAGAATCCAACTTTTGGAGTGATTCAACACTTCACACCCTTTCACTAGATGTCTCAAGCTGGTGCCTCAATAGGTCCTGGAGGCCCCTCTTTATAAGGCTAATTGGTCAGCAAATCCCAACAGCCTGTCAGGAATTTGCTGCCTGAAGGTTGAATCGACAGGCTGACAAGATGAGGGCAGGACGTAGAGGATCACACTCCTGTTCTACTGCCCTCATCCTGCCAGGAGTCATGAAATCCAGATGTATGACCTTATGCCACAAAATGGTCATTTAATGAGTACTTTTTTGAAGAAACTGAATTGCACAGCAACTAGACACATAATAACAATGTTAAGTAACAATAAAGCAACTACTTCTATCATTCTTGGCTCACCCAGTATTGTAGCTTGCCACCCGCCTCTCTCCAAACCACGCCTTTCTTCTCCAGTTCCAGAAAAGCTTCCAAATGAAAATGTGCTTCGAGTCGGTGACACATCTAAATGATCCTCATGAAGGAGGAATGGCATTCCCATTCGTCGCTGCCTCTTTTTACCTGGGTGATGGAATGGGATCGAGCCTTTGCGTTCACGCTCCTCTTTCCGAGTCTTGAACTTATACGACACAAGGTAATGGATTTTATTGTTCGCTAACACATTTGAAGTGGGTCAAAAACTAATGCTGCACATTAACACTTTAACTTCCAGGATTATGATCAATATTTTCTGACTGATGTAATTTTGATACATGCAGACCCCAATTTATTTAGTTTAGTTAAAATAGCTTTAAAAAAAATCTAGGGTTATGCTGTTAAGATATTAAACGAATAGAAATATCCAATACACCAATAGATTAAATTAATGCTGACTTGATTTGTTATTGGCACTTAGCAGTATTGGAAATTGTCTCTTGTATATCAATTGTCCTGTTTTGAAGTATGTGGGGAACATTAAAAACAAATACCAATCAAAAAATAGAATATTGACTGAATCTGTAGTATTGATTTTCCAATCCATTTTTATCTGCTCTAATAAATATCTGTGCAAGATTTCCTTACCTTTTTGAAGATATTCATTCCTAGGTCGGTAGAAAGGTCTGGAACAGCTTGTCGTCTCAGATTTGTCACAGACACCTTAGAAAATGTTTCAGAACTGAGGGACTTTTCCTCTTCATTGCACTTCAAAGTAAGATCCTTGAAAAAACAGTATAAATGATAAATGAGTCAAAAACATTTCTGTAAAAATCTTCATCTTTTTTCTTAGTCACACACACGCTTGGTAAATATGGCATAAAGTTAGCAATTGTGAATGAACAGTCCATTTTAAACTCAACTTACCTGATTTTACCCAACATTCAACAAGCTAAATTGCAAGTAGATAATATTACAATGCACACCAACACCACTATTGATGGTGTGATATCAACTTTAAATGTCACCAGTCAGTGATCTAGTAAATAACCATACTATGTAAATATTAATCAGATTATGCAAGATACACAAAGAAGGTTCTCCAAACTTTGCAAATGACATTAAATCTTCAGCCATATATTGCAAAATATCTGAATGTGTAAGGTAGTGTTTCAGGTTTCAGAGGAAGCTAACTTTTTTTCAACATGCATCGCCTAACACTGCCTGAGGAGATTGAATCCAAGGACATAGGTCATCCAATGGCCAGCAAAGTTCTGAAAAGGCACTAATCGACAAAGATTTTTTAAATTGCAAATCCAGAAAATAACCTATATATAAATTATCTTAAAATGTCATATTTTACGCCCTCTACTGTTTTCTCAGTTTACGCAGTTCCTCCTATAAAAAGCAGGCAAACTGGAGATGCAGGAGTTTGGAAGGAAATAAAATTGATTTCTGGTTGAATACTTTATTCACATTTTACCTAGAGATTTGCCAAGTCAACTCGTGTCTTCTTGGATAGAAACAGTCATCGATTGTACCTTCAGGTCAGACACAAGGTGAAAAAAAGAAAAATCAGCCAATGCTTCCATTCCAGATTCCTCTTCAAGAACCTCTGTTGATAATACCATTTATGGACCTCTATGTGAATCCATTCAGCTGCGGTGCATCCCATTCATGTGGCCTTTCGCTCCAACACAGGGTAGAACACTCCACTGGAGGTACTTATGGTCGGCAATGCAATTCAAAACAAAACTGGACAGGGAGTCATTCCAGATCATCTGGGCTTATACCTCTGTCCAGTAATGAGGGATGCAGCAACATTGGAGATGCTTTCTCAACGTGAACCTTGTCATTGGACATAACAGATCCCATGGCAGCATTCCAAGAAGAAAGGAGTAGTCCTTCCGAGTTTCCCAGATCATATTTAGCTGCTACTTTCTTTATTTGTACACTAGAAATACTAAGCATTAGTAATATTTGCACAGAGGCTGACAGGTTATTATGGCACACGGAGAAGGGAGTTACATTTGAGTTGGCTGAATTGGGCTGAATTTCATGCAGAATACAACTCCTCAGCCTTGTGTTTTTTGTTTAATTTTAAGCAAAATTTAACAGCTCTTCTTCACAATAGCAGTTTGCCTCCATGTGCTGTGGAAAGTGCTTGGGGATGGGACTCTGATCAACACTCTTTGTAATCTATATGGTAATTACTGTCATCTCTAAAATGGTTGCAGTCAAGCTTGGGTCACTGGGGTGAATGGAACTTCTGTCTGCTCCGGAAATACTGGGACCTGAATTTTCATGAAAGTGAAGAAGCTCTATGTTTTTGTGAAAATGGTGATGGATGCTTGAATCTAGGAATCCTGCCCCTGGCCATGGTGTTAACTATAATCACAGGGAGGTGGTGGAATAGGGTCTGGGTTATAACATCCACATCTGTGGTTTAAGAAGGAACACTCACATGTTAAAGGCCAGCCCGCTCAGATTGATCTGATTTTTAATACTGGCATGTCCAAAACACAACTTTGGCTCTTCAGAACTTGTGGGAGAAAGAGTAAAGTTGTTGGGGTTTTTTGGAGAAGTAGGGTTCTCTTCTGGATATGGACCAGGGACACATTTTGGCAAATCAGGTGATCTTTGGCAGACGTAGGAAGCCTTATGATTGTTAGAAGTAGACACGAAAGCACACAAGCAGGGCATGAGCTCATTAGAACTGCCATGTGTACTGTGCAGACACTGGTAAGGGGGAACTGTTCAGATAGAGGTCAGGGGGAACTGTAACAATTGCGGTCAAAGTGAGTCATCAAAACATTAAAACATTAAAGATCCTTAAATATTTGTGAAAACTGCACTGTTAAAATTAATCAGTGCCTGCTATTTCACTCTGGCAGAAGCCTGATGGTCATCATTACAAGATTACCGCTGCATGATTGATTCCACAACACTTCATGACCACAGACAGACAGTAAGAACTGCTGATGCTGGAGTCGGAGATAACACAGTGAGGAGCTGGAGGAACAC